GTGTATATTAGAATAATAAATGAGAAAATGAAAATTTTCACTGATTTTATGGATATATGTTTATCTCTTGAACACAACGACTAGATTATTTATTTGTGATTGATAATTGTGTGGAATATTCATCCATGGAATATCTCTTATCGAATTTAAAAAAAGCTTAATTTTGTATATAGGACTAACGGATGTACAATTCAATAAAAATTATGGGAAATATAAGTGATGAATCAAGCGAAAAATTACCTGGTAGTCAATATAAATAATTATATAGATAAAAAATATAAATAAACAATATTTAGTATTATTTGTATTTCTTTAAGCATTGTGAGAGCTCGAAAGAACAATGTTAGAATTGAGAATTGCGATTTCCATGAACTTCCCTGAAAAATAAGAGGTAAGATATATAAATTAATAATCTTCTGGAGGTGAAAATTAACAATAGAAAAAGGACAAATTAATAATTAATTTAAATTCGTCGCCATAATAAAATAACTCAATTGTCGCTAAATAAGTTCCTGAATTTTTTATGGTAGTTACTTCAGAATAAAGGACAATATAACTTAAAATATAATTTAAAAAAAATATATGTTTAAAATTCAAAAAAATTCATTTTATTTTTCAGAAACAATTTCTCTATGCCGTTAAAGTTAATAACTGAAAAATAGTGGCAAATTGTCTTAACCCCGTGACTTCTCATCTATTAAACTTCACAACGTTCCAGTCCCCAAAAGTAAAAGCTTCTCAGTGCACTCCAATAAATCCAGAAAAGAAACACAATTTGTTCATTCACAACAACTAAAGTCTTTCGGAATAAAAAAGTGCCACAGTTTCCATGTCTTCATTATTAAATCGACGAATGAAAACGTGGTGATGCATAATTAATAGCCCGTGTTCATCGTACCTAGAACACCATGGGAATCACATTGTGTCCCCGTGATCCCTTAAATGCAAATTTAAAGCCTTCGCATATTTTTCGTATCCTAACTTTCTTCTGTTTCTCACTGAAATAGTTTTTGTATCCGCTTAGAAAAACGTGTTTTTTTTTCAAAAGACTATATTATTTTTTATACTTGTTATTGTACCTTTACTCTCTTCATGTGCATATGTGCATATGTGCTTGTGGTTTTAACGTCCTTTTTTTCTCGTGTTAACGTGTTGTGAGTATAGGTCTGTGTCGACCACAGATATGCATCCCTTTCTTTTGTTCCCCAGTAAGCTCCCTGTTTTTTTTTTTAAATATTTTTTCATCTGCTATCGTTATCTGGTTCTTCCTCCTCATAAAAATCTAGCTTATTAACAATCTCCCGCAGATTATCGCGTTGCATTTTTCCACAGGCTTCAGCCAGAGGTACGATTCTGAGATAACTATGATAACGTCAAACGAGAAAAGTAAAATTTCGTAACGGGGAGTTCTGATCTATTCGGCAAATTAATTATTTACCAGTTGTCAACGAGAAGATATCGGCAGTGGAGGGGCTTATACGTGAAAGATTAACCTTTGTATTACGATTTTGATCTAAAAAATTTCGATGTCTATTTCGTAAATTATGGATGCCGACCTTATGCATTACGTGTTTTAACTTTGTAAATTAGGATTTCAAAAAACGTAACTGACAGTTTATATCTCCTAAATGACCATTTTGGACCCCGTAAACTATGAGTCTAGGTGAGATCTCGTATTTCACAATATAAAACTCGGAATTTATGCAATACAATGTCGTAATTTACGTTTTCAAACGCGTAATTCACGTGATCAAAATTTCGACTGAACATCTCTGAAAATAAGGTAAATACCAACTTTAGATGTAAATCTTTTTCGTACTTCTCAATCAGCCCTACACGAAAAATGTATCCACAAATTTCAGTATGTCAGATATTGTATATATCTTCAAATATATTTTTCTTATATTGTTCAGATATTTTCAAAAAGCATTCACTGCATATATAGGGGAGAATGGGGCGATATGGGCCGGTGAAAATTGAAAAAAAGCTTATCTTTAGCTTATCTTAGGCCGATACGAATTTCACAGCCTCTATCGAAAAGAAAAATGTTTTACTTATTTTTTAAGGTTTCTGTTATTTTTTGTATTCTTCTCGTTTTTGTTTTCTCAATATCGTCCTTAATAACTAACAAATCGATCACTTACACCATAATTTTGTAAAGAATAATTTTAGATTATGAAGATCAAGTTAACTGTTATGCAATGAGCAATTAAAAAACAACTTTCACCGGCCCATTTTGCTCCACCCTTCCTTATCTATTTTTCAGAATAAAATGTTTTCGTTTGAAATTAATTGCTTGTTAAGGTCTTTATTAGTCTCGGAAAATGTAGTTAAACTGAAATAAGGAGGGACCCTCACCATTTGATTAGTTTTGCTGTTGATTAAGATCGATTAGAAAGCTTAAGTCCGAAAAGCACTTGCGTCTCGTCAAACAGACGTGACACTTTCATTTTGAAAACTCGTCTGCATTCTGCGGAATTGTCATTGGATGACAGCACTGCCATTAGATCTTTCCTAAGGAAACAAGGGAAGGAAAACAAATAGAGGTGTCCTGGCTAGTCTCGAATAACTTGCATTGTTCTCCAGAATTTACTGTCTTTTCCTCAGACTCACCGAAATTGATATTGCGCTCCCTTCCAGTCGCTTTATTACCCGCCATACCTTCTGGGATATTCTACTCGAGGGACCAATGGAAATAATGTGATAAAAAGAAAATTGAGGTTTGTGTTTAGATCTGCACGAAGAAAATAATTAAATTCACACGCGTGAATAATAATAATTCCCAGTCCCAGTTCCCAAGGATTTTTATTCTACATTCAGGAAAAAATCAGAGAATCGTTTCATCAAATAAATCATCATTCTTCATTAATTCATGGGATTTTGGTACAGCAATGTTGAGAGAAAAATTAGTTTACAGGCAATCGGTTTGCGACTATTGAATGCCAGAATAAACTGTTCTGACATTCTAAACTTTTTACTTTAAGTTTTCTGAAAATAGAATAATAAAAGTTCAGATATCCCTGAACATTCCCTGAAATTCCAAATTTGTGAGCAGCAATCAACAGATAATTCCACAATTTTGTTAAGATGTCAGCAAAACAGTGAAAATTCACAAAATATTCAAGCTTTTTATCAATATTCGAAAAAAGATTATTTAATAATACTTTGCCAATCAGAATACAATTTAGAATTTCAAAATTCGTTAAAATTCCTCAGAATCTCTGGTACAGTGTTAGACTTTTCCTTAATGTCACCGAAAATATGACGGTAACATTGAAATAGATTTAGGAAAAAGTGAGATTAAATGGAAGTGGAATTAAAATTTCACAACTTGATAGCATCCTGATCAAAACGTGAATATTCAATGGCAAAATTATATAAATTTTTTATTCATTATTTTTATTCATATTCTCACTTCGTTCGGTTAGAATGCTCACTTTCGGCGTATGTAGGCAGAAAATATAGTTAATTTTTCAATTCAATTAATCCCGGAAAATTATGAAAATTACTCAAGCATTCTCCTTGCCTTCGGCTCGGGTGGTAATTTTGCACGTGGGGAGGACTTGTCTACTTTTCCTCTCTAGGGGAGAAATATACTATTTGTGGATTTTCAGAATTGAAAAATTTTCAGAAATTGAAATTCAAAACCAGAACTCGCTTGGAACTCTTTCCATTGTTTCATTAAAAATCCCTTGTAATTCGCGCTGATGATTTGTTAACCTGAAAAACTGAATCTTTTATTTATGTCCAACGACCTCATAATTTTCTATAATTCTATTCGCAATAAGTAATCGTCTACAGATCCAAATTTTGAATGTTCTTCAAATAATCATTTTTGCCAATGCCATCTAAGGTTTTATACGGGACATCATTAACTTGTCAACTAATTATCGACAAACTGTTGTCTGGGGTGTAGATTTTCTTGTGGTTATTAAATTTCTTTGGCCAAAATCTTTATTTGCCTCAGTGTATTCCATCCAAAAATTGTTGTCAGTTCGATGAAAATCCAAAAAATAAATTGCGTAAATTGCGAAGAAAAATTTTGCTCGGTGATCTTCCGCATCAGATGCTTTTCGAAGTAAAAATAACCATCTACCGCATAAACGAAAATCACATAACCGGCCCTTCCCTTTACCCCCCCCCCCCCCCTCAGTACCGAAGTAGAATCCTGTCGATAACTACATTTTAACCTCTATTTTCCAAAATATTCAGCAGCGCTCTAAAGTCCAGAAAAGCCCGAGGACAGAGGTTCATGTTGCAGTAGGATTTAGCAAAGAGTAGCGGAATGATATGTTTGACAGAAAGCAGAATAGATCGTCCGCACCGCTGCCCGAAACCCGTCTCGCTCCTCCAAAAAGCTCTGCACTCTACATGCATGATTTTGTGCGTGTGTATGACACACATTTTTTATACATCGCTTTGTGGCTGACACAATTTCGCAATATTTCCCGCAGCATGATTTATCCCCAGTGCGGCGACTGGGCGAAACATTCAATGTCACGACAAAAAAACCATTGACGTTCTATTGAAATAAAAGTGGACAACATCGGAGCACAAAAGCTTGGGAATAAAACCATGGTTCCTCTTTCGCTGGGATTCCCGCGGGCCAAAGAGGGAGGAACTAGGTGGAGGGAGAGAAAAGGGTGGTTGATTGGTCCCAGTGGCGTTGGGGTATAGAAGTGGGAGGAGGAAGTTAATCAAAAAAATATCTCGTACCACGTTTGGAAACCTCACGCCCTCTCAGCACCGATCTCCTCTGCGAATTATTGTCGTTTTAGTCTCTCCCACGTTTCTGTTGGAATTGAAATGCTTCCTCGCTTTACTCTCCCAAAAAAACTTGCGCATTCTTTTTTTTTCATTTATCATGAATTGGTCTAACCACGTGTCCATCATTCTTACGGCGAATATCCAAGTTTCTTCATAAGCCGTTTCCCCACATCTAACCGCCCACTCACACGAAAAAATTCAACTTCATTTTGAGACTTGTAATCTCATTTCAGAACCTCGAAGGCTGGAAATTCAGACAGCTTTCTGCTCGCTGCATTGAGGATTTTGTGAGTATTATAAGGTGAGACGTAAAAGCGATTTTAGTTGAGAATTAAATCATTGGAGACTTGGAGTCAGAATTGGAGAATTTTCAACTTTGAGACGATTCAACGGAAGTCGATTTCCTTTCGATTTGCACTGCATTAATAAATTAGATTAAATTAGATTAAACAATAATATGTATAATTGAGTTAGGGAAGTGACAAGTTAATATCTCACGTCTCAAATTAAGTTTTTCCAAAGTTCCACGTGGAGTATTTCAAATTCTCAATTTAAAGTGTTAAAATTTGTTAAAGTAAGATTCTTTCATGTCTCCCAGGCCCTCCCAAAATCTCAAAACAAGCTCCACTTTAAGATGCTATTATTATTCCATACTTGTTCCATAACGATTGAGATATTAAAGTCAACAGAGTGATTTGAACATTCATGGCTTATTCAGAGTCGCTCAAGTTGACCAAAGTGAGCGGTGAATTTTCCAAAGGTACGTTACCCTAGCTTATATTTTCTTACAATTACCCCATACAAGAGATCGATCGGGGGTGTAATGAAGTTGGATGTAATGAGACTAAAATATCAGTGTATTTAAAATAGTTGAAAAGTCCTTGAGGGTTTACAGGAGTGCAAAAGTGAACGGATAATATATCATTATTTCTATAATATACGTTGTTTATGACAAAAAGGCAGCGTGGGTGGGCATTGGGAGAAGGCTCGCTTATGCTTGTTATCACTCACTTCAAATATAACCATTAAATGCTGCCTCTAATTCACGTATAATGGCGTATGATTGTGATTGAGTCGATTCATTACACTGTGCGGAGACAAGCGTAGGGAGAGGATGGATAGTTAATGGATCGTGATATGTCGATCGTGATTTATCCTCACTAGAGTGCCCCATCCCCCCTCCCCCCTCCCCCTTTCATTTGTTCATTGCATTATACTTATCTGAACTAACTTCACATTAGTGTGGTCCAAAAGTAAATATTTATATTCCTCCTTCGTACAACTTGTAATGTCCTGAATATTCACTCCATACATCATGTCGGACGCTGTTTCTACATTTCGTATTTATCTACACCACATAGTAACATTCCCTCGTTTATGACGTTTTTGTTGTTATCCCCTAGACTTTATCTAATGCTCTCATCAAAATTTAAATCCATGAACAGTCCACTTTCGTTCAAGCACGCATTCTAACTTACATTAAGCTTCCCTTCGTCATGTTTCTTTGGATTATTTCACTACTCACAATGTAGTTCTGCAATCGATCCTTTTTTTTCCTATTTAATTTTTTTTATCTCAGCGCGGAACTTGGCTTGGTTTTTACTATCTTGGTAATGGAATCCCCGGGCGACATTTGCGGCAGTGGAGTATGTTGTTTTTTCATTTTCTTTTTGCGGTGAAAAGTTTCTTCTTCTCTCGGCGTTGTTTTATTAGCCCAGGCCACCTGACGCTTTGGTCCCGTTGGTTCTTAGATTTGAGTTCCTTCGGTCCTCATCTGGAAGAAAAAGTTGGTTTCCAAATATTGAGTAACTAGATTGGATTTGGCGATCACACCATTATTGATTAGGAGACAACTCATAACAGAAAAATTATATCACAGGATCAATGACAATCACCTTTCTTTTTCTCAAAAAGCATCAGCAAACAATGGAACTCTTTTTGCTCTTGATCATCATTCCAATAGTAGTCAGTGACTAATAAATTTATTCCTCATTATTTGATGTATTTACTATATACTCATTACCAAAGAACACCATTTATTAGATGAAAAATGAGGAGTCCATTTGACCCACACTATCCGTTTTACCCCGTCCCTACATCTATCTTTATTTGAAAAATCGTTGGTCACGCCAGTCACTTAATACGTTCATTCCTGAATGCCTACCTGCCTACCTCTTCTTTAAATTTGTCACATATTTCTACAAAAATCACCAGGTCAGTTTTCGAATGCTCTGAATTTCATCGATTTGTCTCTATGCAAACCGAAGTTACGAGTATTTGAATATCAATAAACATAAAATCGTTATGTCACGTCTACTTTGGAGGTGTTAGTTTCGGCCAAATTTTCAGCACCCGTTTGCAAAAAAGGATCATATGACCTGTCTACCTTATATTTTTGCCGTACATCACATGTTTTTATCGAATTAATGGAAGAATAACCGTCACTATTATATATCATTTTATAGCTCAATCTCTGAGCTTTTGGACGGCTCTCAGTTTATTCAGTTACGTTCATTCTGTTCTGAGTTATGAATCAATAAACATCATAAGGACACTTATTTCGCGTGCTAACGATTATTTGAAAAATTCCACGTCTTAACAGATGAGACAAATAAAATATTCTATATCATTTGTCTGTTTCCAGTCTGTATTGGACTATGAACGATTGAATGTGAATACAATGTGTTGCATCCATTGTCTGATGAGTATTTTTCATGTAATTGACGGTTGAAACGGAAATTTATTGTAACAGTATTCGCACAACAATCGTCAATGAAAAAACTTCAACTCTAAAGACTGTATGAAAATGATCAAAGATAAGGAAAACAAATACAAATTAGACAGTTAAAATAAAAAACAAGCAGTTAACCAAGCCTATTTGGCAGGAAGCATCCAACCATCACCGTATGCATCAGTTTTTTTCTCATTTTTCAATTCTACTAATACCATTGGCAGTAAACTTCTAAATGAATGCATATTTATTTCAACAGCGATTTTTTCGGCGATAAAGAAAAATGGCTATATCTCCTAAACGAATCATCCGATTCAGTCCATTTTCAATAGGAAACATTGTGGTCATGAGAGGAACCCTTCTGCCAGATTTCAAGCTGATAGGTTAATTTTAAAAAGTTTTTCGTTAAAGTACTACTTTCCCAGCCTATAGTCGACCTTTGTGGGGTTCATACCACCCAGGTCCCCGTCGCAAGCCCTGGGTTACGCCGAGAGCTGATATGATTTCCATCAAATCATACCTAGCATGGACTTAAGAAAATTAATGTAATATAAATTGTTAAAAAAATTATACCTCTACACGGGAGAAGGAGTGAGAAATCTTGAACATCTACGCAAGCACCCATCATAAAAAATGAGGTGACTTGAAGTATATAAATTCAACGATGAAATCTAGGTTACATATGAGAGTGGTATTGCATCACTTTACCGGTTTTTCTATCAAATAGCCTAAGTAAAATTTCAATTAATTGGTTCATCCATTTGTTATGAATAAAATTAAAAAAATTAAAGTCCTCCGGCCGTTGGGATAAATTGCGTCATACGGACCTTATACGGACGGGACTATGGAGGAGGTGTGTTCTCTATTTCGCCTCTCTCTTGTACCTATTGCATTAAAGAGAGAGGGGGGATAGACCTGGCTATCGACTGATGACGTTTTACAAGTAAAATTTATCATCCTTAAGGGTAAAAATTGCCGCGCATCGGGTTCATTTCAACTACGCACTCAATAAACTTTATTGATTGAGCGGATAATAGTATAGTTCGATACGAGTGAGACGGAATCATGACGAGTGTGAAGTTGGTGATCGTAGGCGAAGCCGAGGGTTGCTAATCATACGAGCTGTAAATTTCCGGCTCACATATGTTAAACAATATTTTGGGGCAGTGATTGTACGTTCAGTGAGTGTCGAATTGTGCTCTTTCCGTTTACTAATAAACGAGAAGTTTTACTTTTTCTTTACCGGTAAAAGAAATACTATTTTCCACGCCTAGGATGGAAAAACTGAATCTGACGAATGCGGCTTTATAGTCCGAGCGAAGCGTTTAATAATGAAGCGAATAACCATAATTTTTATCCTTTTCATGTAGATTATTTATTTTAGCCCACATAAATTTTGATCAATATATGGTCAATTTTCGCTGTATAGGGAAAATTATGTTCTAGTAGAATAAAATTTATTTTAGTTTTTATAAATCCTATTATTTTCATATTTTCTCGAAACGTCAGAATAAAGATTCCTCTAACGTGAGTCATAGTACACTTTTATCCTATTGTCAGGACAATTTTCATTAAAAATTCCTCTGCGTGCAGACGTGACTTAAAATTATTTGTTCGCGTTTTATAGCATTGTAGATAACTTAAAATTGAAAGGGAAGAATCGATAAATCGGTCAAATACAAGGCTTCCATCCGGAAGCAAGAGAAATTGCCAGTAATTATTGAATATCTGGCCTTTTGTAAGCATTGTTTCAACAGATGAATCTGTTTGGTTGAAGGATACCAAATATATGATCACAGGTAATAGAGACAGTTTTTTCTCCCTAGTGGGAGCAAAGTACACACTTCTTGCCTTCGGCTCGGGCGGTAATTCTGCACGTGGGCAAGCCTTCTTTACTTTACCTCCCTAGGTGGGAAATATACTATTAATATAGCGCGGGCATTCCGTCTGCGCATATCCGGTATCGCCCTAGTATAAGGATAAGGGAAAAACTACGGGAATATAAAAACAAAGAAGATCCATTAACCCCCCGAGTGGAAATTAGTTCAGGTCTACTTGAAGTCCGATCAGAACTTGATTCAGTTTCAGTGCGGTTCGCTTGATCGGGTAAGATCTGATCAGAACCTGACCAAGGTTTGATCCAACGTTTCGGATCCTAAAAACTACAAGCGAATTTAGATCAAGTTCTGATCAGACAGGCCTGATCAGATGACACTTGATGAAAACTAGATCAAGTTTCGAGCCAGT